AGGAACACAGGCTCCAAAACAAGATACCTGGGATACTATCCCAATTCTGCCAACTTACTAGCAATGTAAGTTTGGGGAAATTACTTAACTTCCTTGGAATATAATTTTATATAAAATTTGGAAACAAAAATACCTGTTCCACAGGTTAGCAGTTAAGAATAAATAAGGTAATTCATATACAGCACCTCAAATAAAGGTTTATAGACTAGTACTTTGCTATAAGCATCAGTATTAAGTTTGGTTTCCTAAAGGGAATCATTCATTTTTCCCCTTACCATTCTCAGTAAACGAAAATGCTAGAATTTTTTTTTTAAGTATGCACCTCATGATCCTAAAGGATCAAAGAATAAAATTTTCTAAGGGACTCTTTATATGTTATTTCCTACAGTGATCTAATTCTATAAAAGGGCATGTAACTACTGTTTATAGCATTCTTAAAAAAGCACCAAACCTCCAATTTTGTAATCTGCTTTTCTACTTCTTAATAGAAAAAGAAGTTTCATCTTCCTTATTTTTGCAAATTACAGGTAAACAACTAAACTGCTTCCACTCTGAAATTAGACTTCCATTTGAAACTACAAATAGATGACTCTGGAGATGGAAAATAGGAGATGTGCAGATTTATCTGGGCACCTCTGAACTGATTTTGGCACCAACTCACAGAAGCCACTGTGTGATTAGCTCAGCTGCTTTTTTTGCATGCCTCCAGGGGTTAATAGCTGAAGCCACATCTGTGAAGGAAATACAATGACAACACTGTCCATGGGAAGAGACATTACGAACAAAGAATGAAACTTCTACAGTTGAGGTCTCAATTGTCTGAAATATTGTCTGTTCCTTTCCCAGTCCCCGCCCTCTGGCATGCTTCTTACCAGCTGCAATTACAAAGTATTTCTGATATTTTTCTTCAAGTTTGGACTCTGGTTGCTTAAATTCTAGATTCTCAAGTCCAAAAGGAACTTCTGACAAGTCATTATAAAGATATGGATGATATTTGCAGCTCTGAGTATATATCAACACTAAAGTATGCCATAGAAAAATTTTACAACTGCATATGTAAATACTAACTTATACAGGCTGGATCATATTTAGAGAAGACTGTTTAGCTGTGGTAGTATGCTTATTTGTTTATTTATTTATTTATTGACTCAGTCTTACCATGTTTCCCTGACTGGTCTTAAACTCCTGGGTTCAGGAGATCCTCCTAGCTTTCCTCCCAAAGTGCTGGAATTACGGGCATGAGTCACTGCACCCAGACTACTCCATTCTAACAGAGAAGATCTCGTGAAAAGGAACCAGAGTGGAAAACAATCTACAGACTGTCAGACAGGAACAACTAGAATAAGAAGGCTTGAGAACAGAAGGCTTCAGGAGGGTATGGGTGCATTGGACCAAAAGACCTGTAAGGTCCTTTATAAAGCAAAAATGTTCAAATTTGAAGTTATCACATAATTGCCAGTTTAAAGATGACTATACTGGTTAATTCGCACTAGATACACTAGCTGAGAGTTTCTCAACTAAAGTCAATTTTGCCCTCTTAGGGGATATTTGGCAATATCTGAAGACATTTTGGGTTGTCACAACTGGGGAGATATTACTAGCATCTAGTAGGAAGAGGACAGTTCTCTCATAAAGAATTATCCATCTTTAAGTTCAATAGTATCAAAGCTGAGAAACCCTGTAGCCAACTCTGGCAGCAGAGTATCAGAATTCCTTGGAATCACCTACAGCTTTTAAAAAGCACATTCTAAATTGTTTTATCCGTTTTTATTTACAGAATTTATTTTAAAATGTCAAACAACATAAGAACAGATAAGACATTCATGGGTTATAAAGCAAGCAAGGAAGCACGCCCAGCAGATTGCCAAGTTGCTTCAGAATGAGACATACCCTTTGACTTCACATGCAACAGAAAGGCAAAGTTTTATCTCAAACAAAGCACTATTTTGCTGTAACACCTTTAAAAATTGGAAAGGAAAACTCAATCAAACCAAAAACTAGATGCTTAGGAATAAATGGTAGAATTCTTACAAAACCACCACACTTCAATTCAATCTAAATCAATTCAACAAATTTATGCTGAAAGTATAACATTTAGTTTTCTCAGACACCGAATGAACAATACAAAATCCCTCAAGGGACTTAGAACATTAAAGTTTTCTATATCTGTGGTTCTAAATCTGTTATCAACTTCCAGGACTCTGCTTCTTTCCCTCTGCCTATTAACAATGTGATGCTAAAAGCAATTTCCTACCACTATGCTTCTTACAGCTGATTCAACCACTCATCTCATAGCTAAGCATGAAAGAAAGAAGCATACCCCTAACAAAGAACTATTCTTTAGATAGGAATATTTATTTCATAATTAGTAAATATTATTTTCAGGTCTTATGAACTAAAGGAATAGATGCAAAGAAAACATGCAAACTCATGAAGTGTTCCATATTTTTCACCCAGATACAAGAAAGTCAGAGAACTCCTCAGAGATACTACGTAAGATGGTATCACTAAGGCATATAATTACCAAGTTCTATCCTGAATATATATGCATGCAACATCGGAGCACCCAGATTCATGAAACTACTACTACTAAACCTAAAAAAACGGAGAGCAATACAATAGTGGGAGGTGTCAACACTCCACTGGCATTCTTGTGTCCTTTAAAAGCACATTAAAAAATAATTCATCATGATCAAGTAGGGTTTGTTCCAGGAATGCAAAGATGGTTGAAAACTATATAAATCCATAAACTGAATTCACCACATAAAGAAAACTAAGAATAAAAACCATATGATCATCTCAATAGATACAGAAAAAGCATGTAATGAAATCCAACATTCCTTCATGATAAAAATCTTCAACAAACTAGGCACTGAAGGAACATACGTCAAGATAAGAAGAGCCATCTGCAGCAAACCTATAACCAACATCATACCAAATGTGGAAAAGCTGAAAGCATTTCCCCTGAGAACCAGAATAAGACAATGATGTCCAATCTCACCACTCCCATTCAACATAGTACTGGAAGTCCTAGCCAGACCAATCAGGCAAGAGAAAGAAATAAAGGTATCTAAATTGGAAAAGAAGAAGTCAAATTATCTTTGTTCACTAATGACATGATAGTGTACTAGGAAACCCTAAAGACTCCTCCAAAAGACTCCTAGACTTGATAACTTCGATAAAGTTTAAGGGTACAAAACATATACTTAAAAATTAATAGTATTTTTACATACCAATAATGTTCAAGCTAAGAACCAAAAAAAAACTCAATCTCATTTGCAATACTCTCTCTCTCTCTCGCTCTCTCTCTCTACCCAGGAATACATTTAATCAAATGGGTACAAGATCTCTGCAAGAAGAACTACAAAACACTGATGAAAGAAATCATAGATGACACAATCAAATGGAAAAACATAGTTAAAATGACTACATTGCTCAAAGCAATCTAGAGTGTCAATGTAATTCCAATCAAATTACCAATGTCATTTTTCCACAGCATTAGGAAAAAACAATCCTAATGTTTATATGGAACCAAACAAAAGCCAGAATAGTCAAAGCAATCCTAAACAAAAAACAAATCCGGAGGCATCATATTACTCAGCAACAAATTATACCACATAGCTAAAGTACTGGTACAAAAATAAACACGGTACTGGTACAAAAATAAACACGTAGATCAATGGAACAAAACAGAGAACATAGAAATAAAGTCACATATCTATAAGCAACTGATCTTCAACAAAGTCAGTAAGAAAAAAATAATGGGGAAAGAACACTCTTCAATAAATGGTACTGGGAAAACTGGCTAGCCATAGGCTGAAGAATGAAACTGGACCCCTATCTCTCACCATGTACAAAAATTAACTCAAGATGGATTAAAGACCTAAATGTTAAGATCTGAAACTATAAAAAATCCCTGAAGAAAATCTAGAAAAAACTCTCCGGACATCACCTAGGCAAAGAATTTATGATGAAAACCCCCAAAAGAAAATGCAATGAAAAAAAAAAAATAGGCAAATGGGACTTAAACTGAAAAGCTTCTGCATAGCAAAAGAAATAATAAAGTGAAGAGATAGCCTACAGAATGGCAGAAAATATCTGCAAATTATGCTTCCAACAAAGGACTAAGAGAACTCAAACAACTCAACAAGAAAAAAAGAGAGCCTTAAAAAGTGGGCAAAGGTCATGACCGACACTTCTCAAAAAAGAAATACAAGTGGCCAAGAAACACATGAAAAATACTCTACATCATTAATCGTTAGAGAAATACAAATTTAAACCACACTGAGAGTTTTTATGTGCTGGTTTCTGAGCTCTACACAATTTAAGATGAGATGCTCCTCTAGGAATGAGAAAAAAAGGGGGAAGAGTTGAATGTCTGCAGCGAACAAGAAATAATAACAATAAATGTAATAGAAAATAGAACAAAGAACCGACCAAAGAAATACAGAAGAATGATGGGTAGCAACAGTCTCTGAGATTGTGAATTTTGTTTTTACTTGGTAGGACGTAGCAACCTGAAAGCAGGCACAAAAAAAAAGAAAAAGTACCAGTTGACTTTCATGAGTATTGAGGTTTCTGTCTAAATAATAGGCAAAGAAGGTGAAGAAACGACTTGGCAAATTTTTCCATAAAGGGTCAGATGGTAAATATAAAATAATAAAATAATAATAAAAGGCTTTGTAGACCATATGGCCTCTGCTATAACTCCTCAACTCTGCCGTCATAGTGTAAAAGCAGTCATAGACAGTATGTACATGAATGGGCATAACTGTGTTATTTATGAAAACAGGTGTTAGGCTGGCTTTGACTTGTCACAGGGCTGTAATTTAGGAAGCCCTGGTTTAAGACAAGAAAGTGAAGATAAAAGGAGGGACTGATATTAGAGAAATCAACAGGTTTGAACTTCGAAGAGTTGAAGAACTAGAGGCTAAAATGAAATTTTATGGCATGAATAAACCAAAACTCATGTTAGAATTAATATAGTCTATAAAACAAACCTTTGAGCCTATTTCACAAACATCAATGGGATCATTATCTCCACAGCAGTTTGTGCTCTTATCTTTTTGATGGGGATCTTCCCAAGTCTAAAATTTAAAAAAAAAGCAGAAATATAAGTTAAAACTATAATGTATTTTAATCTTTCTACATAATCAAAGTTTCATAGATAACCATAATCCAAAGAAAACATTATCAGAAATTATATAAGCTCAAGGCCAATAGGCCAGTATGTCCCTAAGGATCATAATAATTAAAACAGATTTATAGTATTTCCTCCCTCTGTCTCTCAATTGTCTGCATAACTGCAACTGTACATGGGTGGTATATCCAGACATATTCATCTTTCAAGTTCAGTAAGGAAATAAATTCACATTTACTTTTAGAGTTTCAGTGGATGTTCCCACTATCTACGTCCTTGTTTCTGTGTTTCCACTGACTGTCTCAATTGTGGCTTCCATCATTCATTGCTTCCTTTGACATGGTAACAGCAGAGGGGTCTAAATTACTAAAGGAAACCCAGTTTTCCCTTTATAAATCTAAGGACAAAACACTACTAAAGAAAATAAAAACCTATTTTGTCTCATTCATTCCATTAAAAAATCCTCTATCTGTCAAATCTCAAGGACCTTAATAAAAACATGAAAAGATGTCAATTCTTTAGTTTACTGGCAAGACTATACCCTGTTGGTTACAAAATACATATATGGGAATTTTTATAAATGAAGACCATAATAGAAAATTTCAAGTAAGAGTAAAGATCCGTTAGGCACTATCCCTCCCCAAAGCCTCAGAATTGCCTGATTCTAAATGGAACTGTACAAGTTCTCTAAAATTATTTGCTTTAAATTCAAATTAAAAGGGATATAGAGACTGTCATCCCAAGATTCAGATTAACATTATTATCTAAGATTTCAGATTATCCAAGCTTATTTCCTTTAATTTTATATAGATAATTAAAAATAAACTTATTTACACCTAAGCACTAAAGAAACTCCAATATTTTCCATCTAGTACTAATTATAGTTTATTCAGAAATAACCTGTCCTAACTTTATCTTAAAAAAAAAATGAATAAATAAAGTCCAACAACATTGCACTGCACCAAATACTAATACTACTAAGAAAATGTAAGAATAACCACAATTGTTAATCTTACACACTGGTCATAGGTGACAAACACTTTCTAGCTGATATATACACACACAATATATACATATATACATACATACCACATGAATAATGTACCATAATGAATTTCATTTTATAGATAAGTAAATTGAAACACAGTTTAAACTTGCACAAACTCACGGTTTCTAAATTGTAAAGACTGTATTAGAACTCATGCAATTAATCATTATTTTTTATGTGCAAATTATAACAATTGAATGGCATTTACTTTCAAATATAACACCATCTACTTCGTGGTTCTCTTCTTTTAAATACCTTCTCTTATTCTGAGAATTTCCTACGTAACTTTCCTAAAGAGGTTCTGTTCTTTCCCAGTCTTCCCGTTACTGATTCTTTTTTTCTATTAACAGGCATTCATTCATACAATAAAATATTTGCTGAGTAGCTATTTTTGGACAGTAACAGAGAGGTATAGGAAACTGTCAATACCCTGGCGTGTCACGTTAATAAAATTTGTGACAAATGCTATAAAGGTAATCTTAATGTGCTGTGGAAACCAAGATGGGACACCCATATAATCAGAATCAAGCAACCTAATGAGAATCAGAAAATATTTGAGAGGTTCCTCCTTGCTAATGCAGAAATTCCATCTCATATTTTTCCTTATTCCTACTCTCATTCCCAAGAGAACAAATGTAACAAGCTAGAAGTCCCACTGCCCTAAAGGTAAACATTGAGATTCGACCACAAACTATCTTGACTAAACCATCCAGACCTCTTTCTTCACTATTAAGAATGGCTTAGCTGGGCACGGTGGGTCACACCTGTAATCCCAGCACTTTGGGAGGCTGAGGCTGGCAGATCACGAAATCAGGAGTTCAAGAATAGCCTGACCAACATGGAGAAACCCCATCTCTACAAAAAAAAAAAAAAAAAGACTTAAATAAGAGGATCTTTATATACATCCTGGCCCTAAAATGTTAAGATTTTTAGTGCTCATTCACAATCTGCATGAATGTTACCATTGAACAGGAAGCCCACACACTTAAGACCTACTTGTGACCATTTTGATAAACATTAATTTTTTTTTAAAGTCCTTCCTCACTTAGAGACAAAAACTGTCTTGATAGTCTTTATATTCAACTTGATTGTGGTGGATATTTCTGTTGGTTGGTTGGTTCCTCAGAACTCCAATTTCAACATTACCTAGCAATATAGTTACACGTATGGAGGAATGAAGTACCCAAGTGAAAAACTCTTAACTCTACAATATTGTGAAATTTAGAGCCAATTCTTCATGATTTTCCTTACCAGCAAAAATGCCAGATTGTTTCTCTTTATTTCCAACTTTACATCTACAGGTCTTAGTTTTCACTACAAAAAGAGATAGACACTAAATCACCTCTAATTTAACTTGAAAATACAGTATAATTTCAACAGAAAAGGAAATCTTGAAAAATTAAGCTTTGGGTTTGCCGTCATGTGGAGTCTTAGTACATGTGTAAAACTATTAATAGACAAACAACTAGAAAAGTACAGAAGCTGGAGAAGAAATACCAAGAAGCGGAAGTTCAAAATATTAATAATAGTTTCACAAAAATGACATAAGATTAGCTTCTGGACTTTAGAAATAATTTTGACAACTAAATAAGAAAAGGGAAACCCAACTAAAATGGGCTGAAAACATGAACAGGTAAATAAAAGAAGAGGAAACATGAATAACGTATAAATTTATGAAAAGATAACTAGTCTGATCAGAGAAATACTAGTTAAAATCACAGTAAGATACTATTTCAAAAACTTAAAAATCTCTTAATCTCAAGTATTAGTAAGGATATAGGGTACCTGGAACCCTATATATTGCTGTCAGGAGTATAAATTGTCATAATTCCTTATATAAACAATCTGAAAATACTGAGTAAAGTAAAATGGGTATATAACTCATAGACTAATAGGTATATACCTGTATACACTATCTATACAGAAAAACTTTAGCATAGAAAGACATAAAAGATACAAAAAACCTATCAACAGAAAAATAGTGTTATAGAAAAGATGATTATAAAGCTATGAAAATGAATAAATCAGAATACACATATCACTGTTATACCCTAAAACAAATCCTTCTCATTTTCATGAAGGTTGTTGCGATTATTACCTTACAATCTATAAATATTGGCCAATACATTTGTAATCACCATGGTCCTTAGATCTCCTAAAAAATAGCTGAATCATACAAAGTCATATGCATAGGTGGTCCTTAAGAGTATCTTCCTGATTAACCAGGATTCCTATTACCAAGTCAAAGGAAGAGAGACCTTTGACGTTCCCACTACCTTCTCCTTTTTTTTTTTTTTAAGGTAGGGTTTCACTCTGCCATCCAGGCTGAAGAGTAGTAGTGTGACCACAGCTCAGTGCAACCTTAAACTCCTGGCCTCAAGTGATCCTCCCGTCTTGGCCTCCCAAATAACTGGAATTACAGGGATGAGCCATTATCTATGCTTTCTGAGCTTCAATTTGGAGCAAAAGCCTCTACCAGTGTTTTTATACTAGCAACTAACATCAGTAGCAAGAGTGTCATCATTAAGTTAACATTATTAAGAACTCACTATGGAGCCAAATACCTCTGATCAACTCATTTAATACTTACAATAACCTTGTGGGGTAGGTAGTATGATCATCCAGATAAACAAACAGGCCTAGAGAGATTTAGTCACTTGTCTCAGGTTATAAAGCTAGTAAGTAGTGCTATATATTTGACTGGGGAGGCCAATGAACCAAATGTATAATTAAGTACAAAATAAACATATCAATATTACATTAAGACTGAAGAAATTTTGAATTTAAACTGAATCTACTCTTTTACTATTTTCCAGACAGGTGTTCTAAATATTTACACATTAAAATAACCCATTATATGTGGGCAACATGCATAAACTGGTAGGAAGACGAAGATGACTTTTGCCCGGCCAGGCAAGCCTAAACTTTGAGCAAGGCATTATTAAGAGTGTGGGAGAAGCTATTAAGGCTAACAGTCTAGGCAGCTGAAGGTCTGAATAATGATGGCATACTGATGAATCACAAGCTAAGTGGATAGACTACCACTTAAACAGTATTCTGCTGCTTAAATGTTCTTCCAAGCACACAGTTGGCTTGGTAACTGCTCTGTACAAGTTTCCTGCTGTTAACAAGACAAATTATAGAACAGCAAAAGTATCCACACATGCCTATGAAACAAATGTGACATACATACACAACGCATTCATTAATTTATTGATTTCATAAATATTTATTGATCACCTACTCCATGTCAGGCACTAAGCTGGGTAGTTAGAATATATCAAATAAACAAAAGAGACAGAATCCCTGACCTCATGAAGTCTGCATTCTAGCTGGGAGAAATTAACAATAAACATAATAAACAAATTATACAGCAGGTTATAATTTGGTAGGTGTTATGGAAAAGGGAAATAAAGTATGAGGGGGGAATGGGAGTTGGGTTAAAAGTTTTAAAGGATGGTTGGCAGATACCACAAAGAAGAGCAATTTAAGGAACTTAGGAACAATTTAAGAAAGCAAGCTGTGTGCATACCTGGGAAGGAGTGTTCCAGGGAGAGGACACAGTGAAGGTGAGGGCTTGAGACAGGAGTGTGCTTCGAGCACCAGAGTGCCAGTGTGGAAGTGGAGAAGCGGAAGGCAGAAGGAGAGTTGGAGATGAGATTAAAAAGGTAAATGGGACCAGGGGATGGCTTTCATTTTAACAGGGTCACGTCTGAACATCAACAATCAAGCAAAATAATAATAATAATAATAATTAGGTAAAGCTACCCCTTCCCATAAGCAAGTGGCATGATTTCAGCATTCTTAAAAACATCATTCAATTTATTTTGTTTGATAAACAGCTTATAAGCGATTGATGGTGTATTCTTTCCCTGAAGACTAAACACACACACACGCGCACACACACACACACACACACACACACACACACACACAAACACACACACACGCTCTCTCGCTCTCTTTCTCCAGGATCAGTCAGGTTTTAAAAAAACAGTACAGATCTCTGGATGAAAACAGCACAGAGAATGCAGGTCTATTTCTTCTCTTTCACTTCCATTCTAGCCACAATGGCTTCCTTTTTGATACTCACATATGCTAGGTCTATTTCCATCTCAGGACCTTTACATTTGCTATTTCTTGTTGGACTGCTCCTCCTCTAGATGTCCACACTCCTTGTTCCCTCACTTCCTTTAGGTCTTTACTCAAATAACACCTTCTCACTGAGATCATCTCCCTGTTTAAACTGCAACAATCCTAACACCCACAGCCCCATTCCCTGCTTAATTTTTCTTAGCACCTGACATTTTACTTGGGGTTTATTTTGCTTATTGTCTGTTTATATGACTAGAATAAAAGCTCCAGGGAAATATTTGTCACTTTTTATCACTGTTTTACCTGCAGTACTTACAAGAACACCTTGCAAATATTCAGGCCTTTAATAAATATGTATTGAATGAATGAACAGTTTGGTGAAGGCCTGGTGTGGACACAATGAAGTCAGTTAGAAACACTGAAGAAGACTTTGTGGTGGATAGGAGTGAGAAAGGAGGAATGCTGCAAAATGAGGCTAGAGAAGTAATCAGAGGCAAGATCACGCAGGGTTGAGTAGCAATGTTAAGAATTTTGTATTTTATCTTTTAAGCAACAGGAGACCATTAAAGTATTCTTATACAGGAAAAGCATCTGGAAATTTATGTTTTAAAAATATCAATTTGGATATTGAATGGAGTATGAAACTTAGGTAGGCAATGGTGGATGCAGGGTGAATACTGAATTAGGGGACTGCCACAGTCTAATTCTGTTTTATTAACAGAAGAACTACCCTATCTGCTAGATTAATACCACTGTAGAACATCTCGAAATCCAAACACATCCAGAAGAGCACAAAAATTTGGCAGGGTTTTAAACAGAAAACTACAGAAGCTCCTTTTGGTTTTACCTCCATTCCTCCCATTCTCTCCTTCCCATCAATAAGTTTGCTTTTTAATTTTTTCACAATAAAATAATTTTAAATTAGTAGTCCCTATTATACCACATCATAACCATCGGTTTAGTTGTTGATTGTCCCAATCAGACTATAAATAACTTTAGGGAAAGAGCCATACAATAATAAAAGTACCAGTCTTAATTATTATAATAATAATAATTGATCACTATATGTTACACACTATTCAAATGCAGTAACTCATTTAATCTCAACACAAATATAAAAGGTAGATATTTTATATTCTTTATTTTACAGATGAAGAAAGTGAGGAAAAGTATCTTTCCTAAGGTCACATTACTAAAGTGACAATCTTGCTCCCAAACCCACATTTTTTAGTCACTTACTATGATGTCTTGATCTATACCTGTATCTCATCTGTCTTTATATACTCAACACCTAATATCCAGCCTAGCACATAAATCCTTAGTAAATGTTTAAAGAAATAAACACATGCACTTTAGTTTATTCTCTAGCTGTTCCACTTACTTCTCTGTTTTTGTCTGTTTCTAATTCAATGGCTTCTTCAGCATTCCCCTCATCCACATATCTTCTCCTACAGGCTGCATCCTCTAAGCTTTATAGAACTTTTTTAACCGTTTACTGTTGGGTTAAACAGCGTTATCTATTTAGGTACCTCGAAAGTTAGAAAACCTGCTTTCATGGTTTCCAAAGGCATTCTCATTCTTAGCACATTACTTTAAAAGTGCCCATTTGAACCAAGAATGTATCCATGTGGGTGGTCTAACTGAATCGGAGACAGCCTGACTCTTTAGAAAACAATTTTTAAAAAAAAATTTCCTGTGAATGTTTATTCTACACAGGCAGTTGCTTTTTCGTGTTGGATAAAACAAGACCTCTCTTCTCAGATATTTCCCCAATACCATCTTGAAATTTCATGAAAAATATTAAAATAAATTAAAATATAAAAATTAAATATCCAGAACAGATGGTCTATGGTTTTTATAAACATAAAGGCAGATGGTTCTCTGTGTCCCCAAATCCTAGACTTTTGATTCAGCATATTCTGAGTTTTACTCACTAAATAATCTGGAAGAGTTGCCTCTTCCCGGGAGTGAGGAAACATGAGAGGAAAACAAAAGAGATAACGAAAGGAAGAAAGGCAAGTGGTAAACTGTTATTCTCCAACAGGAATGCTACCTTACCAACATTTAGCTCTTGTTTTCTCTGTTTTCCACTTAAAAATTATTAACTCATAACAGTAAATAATATAAGTTGTGCAATTCAATTCACGAGTTCCAGGAAAAAAGTTAATGATTTAAAACATTCATCTGTTAAAGTTTAAAATAAAAAATTCATGCTATCATATATGAATGTATATAGAAGCATAACTTGTCATGTTCAAAGGAAAGCCTCACTTAAAAGTTTTTCCCTGACACTTAACAGCCAAGATCAGAAAAATAAAAGTATTCAAAATGTCGAATGTGAACATTCTATCTGCCTAACTCCAAGAACCTGAGTATAGACATACATGCAGTTTAAAACAAAAATTTATCGATACACTAAAACTCCACATTAATAAATTCCAAATTTACAAACCTCTCCAAATGACATGTCCTCAGAAACAATTTAAATTCACATAGTTCACAGGATTTACAAGACAATGTTTTCAGAAGACAGAAACGTTTTACCATTATAACAAAAATGTTACCTGAGGGAGGGTACCATAATTCCATATATATCCCTTGTAAGGGAAGATATTCGCCACATAGCGTAGCTTTCCATCCTTTACATATTGTTTAATGGGATTCAGTGGCTCCTCAGTGGCAATCTAAGCAAATCACAGAAGTAAGAAAAAGAGACAGGATGAGAATTAATTCTATATCCAAATTGTATTTTTAAAAATCTGCTATTTTTAGACTAAATATTCATATTCCAACTTAATGATCATATGCACTTTAAAAGAAATTAAGCCAGCTCTTATTACTAATTTATAGTACCATATGAGAAAAACTGCTTGGAAAGGAAACACCAGATTATATATTTAGTCATTCTATTATTTATGTACTCCATTATTTCTAACACAAATAATAAAATGATTGAGATGGCAAGAGGATAAAGATTAATTAACTTGCTTTTTCTTACTAATCTCAGGCTTTATTACCATCAGTCTTATGATAATAAAGCTAATTCAAAGATTCCTACCACATATCCAATAGTGAAACACTGAAAGACTTTCCTCTAAGACTTGGAAAAAGAAAAGAATACCTACTTTTGCTGCTTTTATTCAACATAGTATTGGACATCCTAGCCAGAGTAATTAGGCAAGAGAAAACAATAAAAGGTATCCAAGTAGGAAAGAAAGAGGTGAAATTGTCACAGTTTGCTGATGATATGATCTTATATAGAGAACACTTTACAGACTCCATCAAAAAACATTGGAAATAATATATAATCAACCTAAGTGTCCATCAATAAATGAATGGATAAAGAAAATACGGTAGACATACATAATAAAATAGCAATTGGCCTTAAAAAAAGCAGAAAATTCTGTCATTTGTGGCAACATAGATGAAACTGATGAACATTACAGCAAGTGAAATAAGCCAGGCACAGAAGCACAAATATCTCATGTTCTCACCTGTATATGGAATTTAAAAAATCAAACTCATACAAGCAGAATTATAGTTACAGAGGGTAAGTGTAGGAGGAATAGGGAAATGACAGTCAAAGGATACAAAGTCTCAGACAGGAAGAAAAAGATTTTTTGTTGTTGAGACAACAACACAACTATGAGTACAGTTAATAACGTATGGCACATTTCAAAATTGCTAAGAGTAAATTTCAAATGTTCTCACAACAAAAAATGATATTTTATGTGACAGATATATTATTTAGCTTGATTTAATTATTCCATACTGTATTCGTAAGTCATAATGTCACTTTGTACCCTATAAAAACTTATGATTATAAATTGTCAATTTACAATAAAGTTTAAAAATCATCAAAAAAAGGGATTCTCACCAACTGATTTTATCTCAGAGTTAAGTTTTCTTTCTTTCTTTCTTTTTTTTTTTTTTTTTTTTTTTTGAGATAGAGTTTCACTCTGTCATCCAGGCTGGAGTGCAGTAGCACAATCTCAGCTCAGTGCAACCTCCCCCTCCCGGGTTCAAGCAAATCTCATGCCTCAGTCTCCTGAGTAGCTGGGATTACAGACATCCACCACCACACAAAAATCTGTGCCCAGCTAATTTTTGTATATTTAGTAGACACGGGGTTTTGCCATGTTAGCCAGGCTGGTCTCAAACTCCTGGCCTCAAGTGATCTGCCCACCTTGGCCTCCCAAAGGTCTGGGATTACAGGCATGAGCCACTGTGCCCAGACTCAGTTAGTTTTCTATCAAGTATATTCACATTGCTATTTTTAAAAACTATGCTATATAGGAAACAAACGGAAAAAAAAAAAAAATAACAAGCCATCTTGAATGAAGAAACACTGCTTAAGTTAGGTAGATTCTCACAGATCTTGGATCCTAGACCTAAATGAGGTAGAGAGTAGCAACAATGATGAAACACTACACATGAAACAACACAAAAAGAAGAATCTAATATCTTTATGTTTTCCTATTAAAGTGTTAACCAAAAATACTTCCAGGACCTGGTGACAGTACTGATAATTCTCTTCCAAATATAAATTCTGAAAAATATACACCTATATAATAATACCTAATTTAATTACTTAAAATATTTGTTATCACACCCAAAGTTATAGAAGGATTATAAAACTAAACAAAGTAACATAAATTAAATTTCACCTAGAACTATAAGGAAGCTTACCTAACTGAAGAAAGAACAATAAAATTCTGAAAAGCAAAAGGGAAGTTATTAATAGGTTCAATTCCTAGAAAAATTTTAAAAAAGGGAAAAAAAGCTAGCCAGGAAAACAGCAGATGCTCTGTGATAGTCATAAATTAACCAGGAAATGACTTCTTCCTGGAAGAGTAAAATCTAAAGGAGAAGTGAGTCCTAAGAAATTAAAATTGCCATCAGCCCCAAATAAATGTTTCAGTTACATCTATGAACCTAATATATCTCAGAATCTACATAAATAAGCTTTGAAAGTATTTGCCATTTTCAAAGGGGAAAAAAAGGAAAATTAATACATGTATAACAAACTGAGGGGCAAATGTGAAACACTCTCTATAAAACCATAATGTATATACTTGCCTTTGAGTATTTTTCTCAACTATCCCAAATTCAAAACATTATGCCAAACAACTTGCAACAAAGTTTTATATCATTATAATCATTTCGGTTTTATATTAATAAAATATATTGGGTACCTCCATTTTAGCATTTGTCCACCGAGGTATTTCTACAATCATATTAAATAGATTCTGCAGTTAAAAACAAAATAAAGAAAGAACATTAAAATTTTTACCTTTTGTTCATTATATCCTTTACACAAACGCTTTAGATGTTTTACACACACACACACACACACACACACACACACACACACACACACACAATGTTTAGAGTCTGCATCCTACCTCTACCTACGCCTTAAATTTTTTCTAAAAATTAGAGTTGTTTAAAACACAGCCAAATTTAGGCTACCATATCACTTGAGCACTAATACACAGTGTCAGCAGTTGCAAGTCTGAGAACACCTTTGATGTGTAGGGACAAAACTAGAATGGAGTCAAGAAATGTGTTTCAATTTTTATTTTCCAACTAAAATAGAAGTAGAGAACTAGTCCCTCATGTAAGGATTCAGTCTCACTTTTCCAATCTGTAAAGTAAGTGTGATAATCTCTATTCCACTCATCACACAAGGTTGTTAGGAAGATCAATGAAAATATACAGAAAATTATGAAATAAAATATATTTTAAAATGATAAAACAATAATTAAATCCAAGTTACAATCACAGTGTAAAACTAAAGACATAAGGACAGGCTATTATAGAGTTCACAAAGAGCTACACTAAATATTCTAGACTTAGCTTGCATATCTAGTGAGTTCAGATTCCCTAAAGTTATAAACTGCCTATGGCTTCACTGTTTTTTGTATTTTGTTGTTGTTGTTGTTGTTGTTGTTTTGTTTTAATTTCTGAACTTTGTAGAATGCTTACACCTAAGGAGACCCTAGGTCAATGATGAGTAAAAATAATTTCCTACAGTTTGCCTTCCAAAGAGAAAGTCTTAAGGTTAAAGTGATTTGCACACCATTTTGACATCAATACATCAATAACTAACAATTTATCAGGGAAACAACCGTGGCTTAAAACACTGTACTCCAAGTGTAGCCAAGGACCAGGGCCAGTCTGCAAACTGATTGTTACTGGCTCATTTAGAAACATTTGTAGCAATTTAAAGAGCAATTTTTATACCTGTGGAATCTAATAATCAAAAGTTGGAAACTGAATTACACTTTTCTAATAATTCATCTTGATTATATTTTTTAAAGTATCAGTTCATAACCAATTAGAAATAAATCAGCCAAAAAACTAGTCCTTCATACCAAATCATTTGAGAAGCAGTAATTTAACATACTTATTTTCAATCATGCCACACATTAATACCACCTAACCAGCTTCAACCAATTAAAAAAAAAAAAAGATTCCCAGAGCCCCATCTCTCATCTACCTGAATTAAATTGCTCTGGGTGGAGCAAGGGCAACTGCTTATTTTTATAGGCTTTGCAAACAATTTTAATATGCAGGCAGAGCTGGACTAAAGCATTGCTCAACAGTATCACAGAGGTTTTCTAGTGTAACATAGAATGCTCTTATTTCAAAGAATGCTATTTACACAATGAAATGTAGATATATGCTGAGCCATAAAAATGATGATTTATATTAAGTTTTTCTACATAAGACTAAAGGTAACAAATAGCAAAACTGCAAGCCCATAATGAGATAAACAACAAAGCTGAGAATGAATTCTCAATAACTGCTCCTTAGAAGTATGTCCCATACCTATCTCAGCAACCTTACACACAGTCCTGCTGTTGTATTTCATTTTCGATGCTCTTTCATGAGGTACCCCTGCACCTGTTTAAATACGTCTAAAGTAGCTGTTAAAAAGAAATACCGAAGTAAATGGCAGATGTTCACATAATTTATTCATCCCTAAAGCCTGGCTATAAGAGAATAAATGCCTACAGATGAATACTCAGAGGTGACCAAAAATACCAAACTGGTGACAATCGTTTTTACACAATGACACCTACCAAAACCATTCACAGACACTTATCTTAGGCCAAATGAACAATAAAAAAGGTTTGAATTTTAAGCCTGCAAAGCACACTCTCCCTCTTCATTTGTTCCTAATCACTAACAGCTTATTTCCAACCTTTGTCCTGTAATTTTTTAAAGCCAATGTTAGCCTGGTTTTCGATAGATTAACGTTAATTATAAACCAACAATGGTCTGCCAAAATTTATATGAAAATAAAAAAGATAAAAGAAGCACAAGTCAAATCAGAAAGTTGTGTATGTAGCAATAACTTAACTACTTTGGTCTTTTTCTTTCTCTCCAATTTTTCCTTGCATTTTTGTTGCAGAAATCAAAACAGAAAAACTAATAACACATATGAAAAAGCTTTCAGTATATTTTATATACATGGGGAAAAGACAGGAAGAAATCATTCCTTTCTTCTCTAATCCTGAAAATTTCAAATAAACTCAAATCAGACAGTCTCTAACATAAAAACTGTATTCTTTTTTTGTTTGAGACAGAGCCTCGCTCTTGTCTCCTGGGCTAGAGTGCAATAATGTGATCTCTGCTCACTGCAACCTCTGCCTCCCAGGTTCAAGCAATTCTAATGCCTCAGCCTCCCGAGTAGCTGGGACGACAGGGTGTGTGCCACCACATCCGGCTAATTTTTGGATTTTTTTTTTTAGTAGAGATAGGGCTTTACCATGTTGGCAGGATGGTCTCGATCTCTTGACCTCATGATCTGCCCACCTCGGCCTCCCAAAGTGCTGGAATTACAGGCATGAACCAAGGCGCCCAGCCCTGGGCTCAGAATATGTTATTCCCACTAATGTATTTCATTAACCCGAAATAACTGTTTGAGGTTAATACACTAAGTCCCAGGGGATCTCTATAAACCCTTGTTCACTCAATGCAGTGGTTCCCAAAATTCATGTTTAGGATGTAGCTAGAATACTTGTTAAATACCTAGAATAACCAGGCCCTATGAAGCAGAGAATCTGATTTAGTAAATATGAGATGGGGCACAGAATATTAATTTTTAACAAGCACTCTAAGTGGTTCCAGGGTAGATGGTTCAAGAACCATTTTGACAAACACCAGTTTAGAAAAATAGAAGATGAATAGCAGGCAAATGTTGTAGGAATTTAAAAGCCCACACAGGTATGTTTGGAAGTAGATTCAAACGCTGGAGCTGTAAGTTTCAGTTGGGTAGAGAATAAATGGAAATGAAGCTGGAAAGGTAAAAGAAGACAGGAAGGCAGCAGGAAAAGCTGCCTGGCATCAGAATCAGAAGGATGAAAGGACACTTGTAGGAGGAGATGGAATGACAGACATCAATCAAATGTTCTAGTCCTAAGTCAAGAACTATTAAAGGTTTCACAGCCACATATATTTATTTAGATACATTTAGAGTATATATTCATTTTATATTTAGACTACATTTATTTTAGCATATAGTTGGTATAAGTGTTTTTCTTCTCTACTCTGAAGAGATTATTGTTCTTGGATTCTAAAAGAGCCTCTCAAATCATCTTCTCTCTTATAATAACTTAAAGTGAAATACTTCATTTATAATGAAGTACATTTACTTTAGATCATCTCCCATGATCATTAAATTACTACTAAAATCTAGGTTCCTGTGCTAATTCTCTCAGGTTTTCAAGTTGTAAAATAAAGCGATCATGAAATAACTAGAACAGTCAAGTTCATAGAGACAGAAAGTAGAATAGTGGTTACCAGAGCCTTGGGGAAGGGGGGAAATGAGGAGTTGTTGAGTTTCAGTTTGGGATGATGAAAAAGTTCTGGAGATGGATGGTGATGAGGATTCCACAACAATGTGAAAGAACTTAATGCCACTGAACTGTACTTTTAAAAAGCTAAAATGAATGTTATGAATATTTTACCACAATTAAAAAAAAATTAAATGGCAATAGCTGCCCTAGCTGCCCCAAAGAAAAACATCAGAATGCATATGAAAGTCTTGCAGGGGTAAAAACCCTAGTATCACTTTACAAATGCAAACTATCAGCAAGGTCTTTAACAGACAATAAAAGTGATTCAGAAAAATGAAAACCTTTGGATATACCTCATTTTCATCAGTTTGTGCTTTCTTTGTAGGAACGCCATTTTCCTATAAAAGACAAGATGGTGTTTATGATTGCAATATTTCATGAAAGAATACAGTGGCACTGCTTAGCAATAAAAATATGACATTCTATACAAGGATTTGTCCAAAAATCTGAGTCAACAGAGAACCTACCAAATGCCCACTTTGTTTTTCCCTGACCATTTGCATCCCCAGAATAGAGCATCGAAGTGTTTCCTAAAATAAATGATCAGAAAAGCTAAATCTCTTTCAACTATATTTACTCAGTTTTTATAAAATAAGTCTTTAAAGAAAGACTGGTAGTTTCCAGTGACTACGCTTAAAACAGTCATTTCATTATTGAAATGAAGCCCTGGGGAGCATGACTAACAAGCCGTGAAAGTACTCAGCTGCACCTCCTGCCTGTGAATTCTACCAAGGTGTGATTACTATGCCTCCACGGAGCACTTTTTTCTCTTTTTCTCTTTTCCCATTACACCAAGCACTATTAAATTAAAACTGACTTCACGGTGGGTTGAGGAGAAAAATTATGCCATTCACAAGTGCTCAACCAGTATGTGTAGCGTTCACACACCAAAATAACTACTAATGAAGAAAACAAAACAAACAGAAAAATAATTATTCTAAATCAGCCCTGAAACATTACTTTTGTTCTTAATACACCACATCCCAAAGCACAAAGCAGGAGTTTTAATCACTACTGACTGAGATCTAGAGAAACCTGTTTACACAACCACCATGGGTATCTATTTCTCTATCTCCAGAATTCACTGGCATATCCTATTGTATTTGCCAGCCCTGTTGTCAATTTTGCCTAATCCCAAATTTCATATTCCCCAAAACCCATCCTCCTTAGACAAAATGTTACTCTCACTGACATGTTTCTAGCTTACTCCCTTTTCCACCTCCACCTCTACTACACGATTCTCAAAAAAATACAGTTTTATTATTATTGTTGTTGTGATGAGGTGTACAGATTTTGTTACAGCATATCCCTGACAACACTACCCACCAGTCACATTTTATCTTACATCTCCCTGTTGTATTCGTATATCACTTAACATTATCTCACTGACTTGTTTTATGATTATCTCCTCCAACTCCATTAAGATAGACGTAGAGTGAAAACTACATCTATCTTACTACACCCACAGTGCCTAGAACAGTGCCAGGCTCGTAATAGGCACTCAATGACTATTGACTGAATGAATAAATTAATGAATAAGTGAATGCATGCACTTTTGGCCAAAAGCAAAGAAAGGTGTTGGGAGACATGAGATTCTTAGGTTTAAAAGTTCAGTAGCCAAAACAAAACACAGGGACACATATGCACACACACTCTCACACACTCACATGGATACACACAGTAACACAGAGTTCTTTTTGCCTCTGGTTTCCTTCTATTGTCCTGGAGTTGCACACTTAAAAAGTAATGAGCAGAAGGCATTACACAAGAGAAGTGAGGAGTACACACTCTGGAGTTAGAGCACCTAAATCCAATACCACCTCCAAAACACACTAGATTTGTGATGATGGGCAAGGTTCTTAGCCTTGTTAACAAAATAAGGGTAATAGTAGTAGTGCCAGAAGAATTGAGATAAGCATGTCAAGCAGGGAACACAGTGCCTGGCTAAGCACCACAAGCACTTAATAAATCCTTCATATTATTCTACTAGCAGTTCCTTATTCTGAAGAGCTGGGAAGCAGCATGAATCCTCCTTCACATCCCATAACCTCACTATGATGCATGATATTCAGCCTCTGAGGTAACACCAGGGTCAAACGACCCTTGCATCTGAAGCAGCCTCCTCACTTCTTCACTTGCCTCGGCCCCTACATTGATCTCCTCACATCCCACAACACCCAACCCCATTAACCAGTTCCATATAATTTCAACTGGGAATGTGGTCCCGGTTATTTACTTAATAGCTGTCTCCCCTTAAAAAAATTGGTAATTCATCACTTGGATTTTAAGGAAATAACTTACAACTTAATGATGATCATGAATATCCACTACCAGATATGCCATCTTACCAACTAATCAGGAGAGAGCTTAAAATACCCCAATGATTTCGAGGCCCAAATCAATGATTTTGATTTGATAGCATCAGTTCTCCTGGGACCTTTCACACCCTGACAACTGTCAAGTGATTTTCAGTTCTCAGAGAAGAGCTATTCAGACACCATCATTTTTACCCCTGCTTTATTTATCTAGCACCTGTTTCACAGAGTGGTTAAAGACCATGAGTTTTGTGGTCAGAAATACTAATTTAAAAACTGGCTCTGGCACTTACCAGATCTTAGACAAGTCAATGAAAATGCCTTGAGCCTCAGTGTCCTTGGAGAAGGTAAAAGCAATTCGTAACAATTAAGTAAAATTATGTTCACATAGTGGCTAGCAAATAAAAAATAATCCACAAATGTTAGCTAATTATTATTGTAAATAAACCTCTTGTTAACTTTCTAAATTACTACTCTTAAATCTTTATTTCCTACCAAATTCTAAGTTTTATGGACCAGTAACATCCCTTCCTACCAATTCCTCATGGAAGAATCCTATTCTCATACAAATTTTAATTCATATATGAGGCTTACGACCCTGTTATAATAACTCCTGTTTGTCCTCCTGACTTCCAACATTTTTTCCTTTCAAGGTGCTTCCAAAAAACATCTTATGGTGATACTAAAAGTACACATTTTCATTCCCAAAACAAGTAAAAACAATACCTCTTTGGAGTTCACCTTCAGAGGAATATCATGAAAAGGGGAAATGTAGTGACCAGTTTCATTCTCTGCAAAGAAAAAAAAAAAAAAAAACAAAACAAACAGAATTAAAGCAACAGACACGTTGTTCTTTACAGCAATAATATCTTTATCAACTTTTAAACTTACCTGCTTTTTTCAAAGCTAACTTTAACTCCCAACTTAAAGTTGATTCAACTTTTAAAACCTGCCACAATCTAAGGACCAAGAAGAAATATATACCAACTAAACCGTATTTGGGTTGCTGAAATCATTTACTTATCCCTGTGGCTTAACATATCCAAAGCAGAAAATACATACGATACACTAAAACCCAAAATTTACAAAATAAAATAAAATAAAATAAAAAGAACCTCACTTTTGAAAAACAGACTCATCGAGAGAGAGATCCAAGATGGCTGATCACTAGCAGCTCGGGATTGCAGCTCCCACTGAAAGAGCAGAGAACGAGAGGACACCACACTTTCAGATCAATTTTTGTTGCTCACACACCAGGAGATTCCCAGCGGAGGAGCCCCACGTGTCACCAGCGTGACTCTTGAGGCCAGTGAGGCGGTTTTGCCGCTGCCTTGGTGTGGCGGTTCTTGGTGCAGAGTCAGAAAAGCACCATCAATCTTAAAGCCGCTGTTTTGGCCGGAGCAGTGGGTTGCTCAGATTCTAGCGCCGGGAATCAACAAGTTGGACATCCATTCAGAAACCCAACTATAAAGACGGTAATTATAAAGACCACAGATCGATAAATTTATAATGAAGGGAAGAAACCAGCCTAAAAAGGCTGAGAATACCCAAAATCAGAATGCCTCTCCCTCTACAGGGGATCACAGTTCCTCATTGGAAACAGAACTAGGCCTGATGGAGAAAGACTGTGTTCCATTAGCAGTAGCTGTCTTTAAAAAGTGGATGATAAGAAACTTCTGGGAATTAAAAGAACTTGTTTTAACCCAATGCAAAGAAACCAAGAACTTTGAAAAAAGGTTTGAAGAAATGTTAACAATAACACACAATTTAGAGAGGAATATAAGTGAATTAATGGAGCTGAAAAATACAACACGAGAACTTCGCGAACTATGCACAAGTTTTAACAGCCGAATTGATCAAGCAGAAGAAAAGATATCAGAGGTCGAAGACCAACTTCATGAAATAAAACAAAAAGACAAGATTAGAGAAAAAAGGATAAAAAAGAACGAGCAAAGTCTCCAAGAAATATGGGACTATGTGAAAAGACCTAATCTACGTTTGATAGGTGTACCTGAATGTGACGAAGAGAATCAATCCAAGCTGGAAAATATGCTTCAGGATATTATTCAGGAAAACTTTCCCAACCTAGCAAGGCAGGACAATATTCAACTCCAGGAAATACAGAGAACACCACAAAAATATTCCTCAAGAAGACCAACCTCAAGGCACATAATCGCCAGATTCACCAGGGTTGAAATGAAAGAGAAAATACTGAGGGCAGCCAGAGAGAAAGGTCAGGTCACCCATAAAGGGAAGCCCATCAGACTCACAGCAGATCTCTCAGCAGAAACCCTACAAGCCAGAAGAGAGTGGGGGCCAATATTCAACATCCTTAAAGAAAAGAACTTTCAACCCAGAATTTTACAACCAGCCAAACTAAGCTTCATAAGCGAAGGAAAAATAAAATATTTTGTGAACAAGCAGGCACTCAGAGATTTCATCACCACCAGCCCTGCTTTACAAGAGCTTCTGAAAGAACCACTACAAATAGAAAGGAACAACCAGTATCAGCCTTTCTAAAAAATACCAAAAAATAAAGAACATCAACATAATTAAGAAATTGCATCAACTAATGGGTAAAACAGCCAGCTAACATTAAATGACAGTATTAAACACACATATATTGTTATTAATTTTAAATTTAAATCGACTAAATCCCCCAATCCAAAGACACAGACAGGCAAAAAAAACCAAGACCCATTGGTATGCTACATCCAGATCCATCTCACATATAAGGATACATAAAGACTCAAAACAAAGGGATGGTGAAAAATTTACCAACCAAATGGAGAGCTAAAATAAATAAATAGAAAGCAGGAGTTGCAATTTTTGCTGATAAAATAGATTTCAAAGCAACAAAGATCAAAAGAAGCAAAGAAGGATATTACATAAAGATAAAAGGATCAATGTAACAAGAAAAGCTAAAGATCCTAAATGTATATGCACCCAATACAGGAATACCCAGATATATAAGACTTACAAAGAGACTTGGACCCCCACACAATAATAGCGGGAGACTTCAACATCAATATTAGATAGATCAATGAGACAGAATGTTAACATCGATATCTAGGACTTGAACTCAGATCTGGAACAAGTAGACTTAATTAACATTCATAGAACTCTCCACTTTAAATACACAAAATATACACTCTTATCAGTACTACATCACACGTATTTACAGGTTTAAATGAAATATTGGTTGGCTGCTTGTTAATTATTTTATTCCCTCATTATTTTTTATTTTTTTTTATTTTATTTATTTTTTTATTTTATTTTATTTTATTTTTTTATGTCTCTATTATTAAACACAATTACAGGCATACCCAGTTTTAGACTGCATTCTAGCCCGGGCAATAAAGCAACACCCCTGTTCTCTCTCCCGCCTCTTCCTCTTCCTCTTTCTTCCTTTCCTTTATTCTTTTTCTTTTTTTTTTTTTTAATTCTTTTTCTTTCTTTAAAAAACAAAAAAGAAAAGAAAAACATTCATTAAGTGAATTATATTAAAACTGATTTCAATTTCCCTTGGGAAAACCTAATAATAGTATTCCCAATTTCCATCTACTATCCATAGGAAAAAACGTCCAAAGGTCCTATTCAATTAAAAGAAAAGAAACATTGTTTCCATTCAATGTGGTAAGGATGTTAACACTAAAGTAAGCTTAGAACAAAAACAAACTTCAATAACAGAAACTATCCTATCTTAATGAGTATTTTAAATACTTTCAAAAGTATGTATTATTTATATAAACGCAATCCCTTTTAAATAAATACAATGTACTTTTACTGGAATACATCTGTTTCTAAAAGCTAAGCTTAATATTAATAGAGCCCTAAAAATTTTTCACTTTGTAATTTCCTAAATCAGGGTGTTCTACTTCCGGCCTGCTACCTCTTTGGCATAATTTTCAAATTCAGATTTCAAGAACATTTTAATAAAATAAAACAAAGACTGGCTACATCCCAATAGCAATGAGCACACAGGCAAGGACATCTTGGTTTTTTTCTTTCCTTTTTTTTTTGAGGCAAGATCTGGAGTGCAGTGGCATGACCATGGCTCACTGCAGCCTGAATCTCCTGGTCTCAAGCTAGTCTCCCACCTCAAGCCTCCTGAGTAGCTGGGACTACAGGCATGCACCACCACATCCAGCTAGGTTTTAAATATTTTGTACAGACAGGGTCTTGCTACGTTATCCAGGCTTGTCTCAAAGTCTTGAGCTCAAGCAATCCACCCACCTTGGGCCTCCCAAAGTGTTGGGATTACAGGTGTGAGCCACCGCACCTGGCCCATATTTTGGTTTTGAAATGCCATTCTCCAATAATAGGAACTAGGTCTCCTTGAAAAAGGCCTGATTTTAATGCAGGAGCAAAGAATACACAAGAGCTAGGAACATCTTGTTGGGTCAGAAGGCAACCAAGTGCTCAAAAATCAAAAGATTGGCGGTATGGTAAAGGGAAATGTGAACCAATCTGAAAAAGCTTCCAAAGACCAAAGCTGGAACAATTTGAGCAACAAAATATAAAATAAATATACATGAATCCACACGAATACAAACAAATGATAAAATAAATAAATGAGAGAGAAGAAACAAATCCAAGATTGAGAAACTGTAACAGATTGGAAGACACTAAGGAAACATGATGACTAAATGCAGTCTGGTATGCTGAACCAGATCCTGGAACAGAAAAATGACATTAGTGGAAAAACTAGTGAAATCCAAATACAATCTAGTTTAGCTAAAAGTTTAGTTAAGGGCATGTGCCAATGTCAGTCTCTTAGTTTACAATGGCAATGTAAACTAAATTTACAGTGGCAATGGTAAATGATGTTAAGATGATACTATTAGGGAAAAACTGGGTGAGGGGTATGCTGGAATCTGGCACTAACTTTGCAGCTTAAGTCAATCTAAAATTATTTCAAAATGAAAAGTTTATTAAACAACAACAACAACAAAATAAGCCTTGGCATTTGTCCAATAAAAATAGAGGCAGATAACTTTAACAATGAAGTTGTTAATTCCCACCAATATTTTATTTCCCCCTACCATGCTGTATGCTTTACCTTAGCACTTATCACTAGAATTAAGTGCTGCAGTTTTGGTAGTTGTTCATTTTTGTTTGTGCTTTCTACTGGATCTCCAACATGTAGAAAAGTACCTGGCACTTAATAAGCATCCAATATATATTTGCTGAGCAAGTATGTGTTAGATAAATATTTCTATTACTTTTCTAAATGTAATAGATACCAAAGTCGGCCACTTTATTTTTCCCTTTAAACTGTTAACATAATTTTTATTTCCCCACCTTAGCAACAAGGTAATTCCTGAAGAACGTGTGCACAAAGCAGGGATAAAAATGAGAAAGAGCACACAAATGGCGAAGCACATACAATTCTGGCTATAACCTATAAATCTCTTTTCATCAGTTAAAAGGATGCACCTTAAAAAAAAAAAAAGTTCTCTTTGATATATTACATCAGACTTTTCTGCCTGATTTTCAAAGTTATCTATGATCAACACAAGAACACAAAAAACAAAATTACCAATTTTTACATGTTTATTTTTTTAAACATAATAGATACCAAAGTGGGCCATATTTACATATTTTTCATTAAAATAAAATATGGTGATGGGGACTGAAAATGGTGCACTTGCTTTGGAAAACAGTTTGGTAGTTTCGTGTAAAGATATAATTAGCCTGTAACCCAGAAATCCCACTTAAGTATTCAACTGAGAAATAAAAACATGTTCACCCAAAAATCTGTAAATGTTTATAGTGTGACATGGTAAAA